TGCTGAGAGGAGAAAACATTCTAATACCCACTGTAAATTCCAAGAGATCAAGGTAACCTGTAAAGAAAGGCAAAAGCAAAAGCTGGATCTTCAGATAAATTCATGGCCAAACTTACTGGTTTTAATCACAAAAGAAATGTAACAACTCCACAAAAGAAAATGAGTCATGTGGCTGCAGCTTCTCTGATGGCAAGTGACTACTGTAAACAGGAGGCAGAGCACAGCTGAATAATGTCTGGCTCTTCTGACATTTGGTCTGTCTTACAGCTAAAAGAATTGTTCATACGCATGAAGGGACAAATTCCTCTCAAAATACGCAATGGTACAATGGAAACATATTTTCTGCATGCACAGCCTTTGAAAAGCATATTTAACTGAAATGGAATGACTGTCAGACATACAAAACTTATAGGGCAATTACTAATAGGGTGTCTAAAATATACATGAACTATGGACAGAACAGTAACATAGCTTCTGTATTGATTTCGTATATCTCTCTTTGATCATTCAATTTAAACAAATACCATGCTGACTACGGCTAAAAATCACATAGTGGGAAATTAATGAAAAGTACTTAAAGTGATTTTTTTTTTTTAATTAATCTAATTCCAGATACAGAGTAATGGATTACGTAAAATTTGCTGTAGTCTACTACTTTGCAAGAGTTCTGCTTTCTGAAGACCTTGGAAATTTCCATACCTGTCTGCTTGTAAGAACTGCCAAAGAGAATGTACACATAAAATATGCCTGTATTTATGTGCAACTACAACTACTTAAATAAGTCTCAGCAGGTGTGTAGACTTGTCTCGAAACCTGAGGTTTGGATAGTGCAGTTGAAGACAATTATTAAATGCAACAGTTGTAAAGCATGGTTTTTGCATGGCCATATTCTCAGTTTACCAGCTTCTGTCTTGTGTAAATAATAATAAAACATTGTAAGAATGCATTAGGACAAGGTATGAGGACAACTTTCTTTCCAGAAATATAGTCCCATTTGTCAATACGAAGCCTATGGCACTTTGAACATTTATCACAGAGTTTCCTCAACATAATTAAAAGAAGATGGCATTTCTTCAAAGTTAAAGAAGCAAACTGAAGTTAGCGTGTCATCAGTGGGTGAAAAATCTGGAGTCTTAGCAAGGAACACTGATGATAATAAAAAAACCCACAAAACTAAAAAACCCACTGAGTCATTGCTGTATCCACACATAATATGTTCTGCCAAACAATTTATCAGAGTATTTCCGTCCCCTCAAAGTTTAAAGCACTAGGGAGAGAAGCTTCTGTTGGGGAAGTTGCCTATCACCCTGCTTTGAATGTAACTGGAAAGTCAGTGAAATAATTAGTTCTATCTTTGCTAGACATAAAAGATGAGTCATCAACAGTATGATTCAAGTCAGCTCAGTCATTTGCACACCTGTGCTATACAACAATACGTAATTTTTCTTGCTTTGGCTTGAAGCTCCCAAGACAGGGACTGCCAGTGAGAACACCTAAGCATGTTGTTGTTAATGTTGGTAAAGTATAAAGATGAAGATAGGTTAGGCTCCTGGTCTGGACACGCATTTATGACAAGACTATACCACCCTCTCGACAAAAGTGAACTGGGAAATTTTTGAACTTTGCTTGACCACAACTTTGACAAAACTAAAATGGTATTGAAGAATGGAACTACTTTAAAGAACTTGACACTTGATTATATTGCTTGAAAAAAAAAAATAAAAAAAAAAAATTATATATATATATATTGCTATTTTCACTCAGGCTTTGTGTTCTCAGGTGTTCAGCTCTACTAGATGACCAGAGGACAGCAAAGCTTCTCCACACCATTAAGAATCATTCAGTTCTGTGACTGAACTCTGCCTTATTCATTCTTTATCAGAGTCAGGACAGTGATCAGTACATTTGGGACATTCAGACCCAATAGCTCATTTCATCTCCAGGAATTACTCCCCACAGCATGAAAAACACTGCAGAACACTGCAGGCTGCCTGCTTTATAACATGTATTGTCCTATTCCTGGGGGTACAGAAATTACTAAATTAGGTTACTAAATCTTTCCTTGGTAGCAGACTTAGGAACTGGTGCAATACCTATTTTTCATGGGGCTGTGCCTCTGCTGCCTATATATCCACAGAAACTGTCACCCAGCAGGAGAAATATATAAAAGAAAAGGACAAGAAAATGAAACTGTTCTCTTCCCATGGGAGAGGAGAAAGACTTGCTTTCAAACCAACTTCAGAACACATGAAAACTGAGGAAACAAAAATGCTTTGTTTCTGTTAAGGAACTTCCTTTCAAAAACAAACATGGACTTACTTATGCAAACAAAGAAACAAGCATACAAGACAGACACTCTTAATAAGCCAATGGGTCAATTTCTCCAATAAGTAGGAAAAGCAGGGAAAAAAAAAGAAGGAAAGATGATCTCCATCACTTCTCCTTTGAAAAAGAATGTCTAGTTTTTCTCTTCTTAAGAATCAAAGTATTTACACTGGAAAGATGCACGCTGCAAAGTTGCAGTGCATTATTCCCTGTACAGCATCCTAAGTGTCATTTATTTTCTAGAGTGAACACAAAATTACGTTACATTTCATATTACTCCTTCATACACTACTACCTGGCCTTTTCTTCCACTTGGCTATCCGTAAGCATTGTCTCTCTTCTCTAGTGTTTTACTTTCAATAGTCATAGTATGGCAATACTTTTAATATACTGTCAAAAACTCTTCTTTATTGGCTCATGATGTCCAATTCCTTCACATTTTAACTGTCTCTTTTGTAATGCAGCAGAAACCAAATTAGATTATGTGCTGGTTTTCTTGATGTCTCAGTCTTAAGCCTCATTTGATTCACTGGACATATTAATATAAATTCAAGGAATTTGAGGATTTGCATGATCAGAGATTACTTCTTTTGCTAACAAGAGCTATCCTGCAAGATGTAACTATCTTTGGATAAGAGATACTAGGGTGCCCTTAGGTAATGCAATATGCTGTCTAAGCAGCTTTTAGAATCTGTGTTATAGGCAAATAAGGAATACAGTTATTCTGTAGCATATATTACAGCGAGGATAGACAGACGAAAGCTAGCAGAATTCCTACATCTGGCTTTGCTCAGTCAACTTGTGACAGCCACAGTTTCATAAATGTTCAGTATCAAAAGCTTACCTTGAGTTTTCACTGGATCAGATATTTGGCTTGGGTCACTTAGTCCATATGCATTAGCTGCCCTCACAAGGAATAGATATATTGCACTAGGTTTTAGCCCTTTAACTGCAAAACTTTCTGTTTTCACATTTTCAGCTACAGTTTGCCAGCTGCTACCAGATGCATGGCTAAGGATAAAACATGTAACAAAAGGTTAGCACGTGCTCCTTTAACAACATATTATAAATAAGTGTTAAGTACAGCAAGATCACATGAGAATCATGTACCTGAAGGCCTCAATTATGTAAGAGGTTGGTGTTGCACCTGAATTCAAATTAGGTTGCCACGACAATGTTACTGTATTTCTGCTGACATCTGTAACCTCGGGTTTTGATGGAGCACTAGGAATCAAGTTTGGGTCAGTGGGTCTTGGTGGCTGCACTGGGACTCCAAACTCTAACAAAGGAGAGAGAAATGCTAAGTATAGACAGGAAGCAGCTGTAAGCTAAACGCTATTCACATCTGCACTGGCAATTTATGAGAGTCAGATAACTTCTGCATTTCAATTTCTGATTTTCCTTTCTGTATTTCCTCCACGCAGAGAAACCCTAATTGATTTACCTTGGACCTCTATGTATGCGCTCCATGTAGCTTCGCCACTTGGGGTTGAAGCAATGCAGGTGTACCGACCAGTGTCACCCAGCTGAGTGGGAGAAGAGAAGAATAAATATTTGAAACAACCAGACACTCAGTGGGCTAGAAAAGTAATTACAGCTCTCTCTGTTCCCCCGTGAAGATGGGTAAGCATATCAGGCTGCAAAAACTTTGAACCAGAAACTTCTCCCATTACACAAGGTAAAATTTCATGTGCTACGAAATGAAAATGGATACTTATTTCTGAGCTTTCGGTAAAGAACTGGAAAACCTGCAGGTTCTAATTTAATGTTACCTATTCTGTAATGAACAAACTGAAAGACAGTTCTTGTAGCATTTATTCCTTCCTCTGCAGACATCCTAACGAATAATTTGAGAAGGAACTCAGATGACAAGACTCCATGCAAGTGTCAACCTTCTGCCTAAATAACGCCTAGGAATTTGTCTGGGCTGCTGCACTGGAGGGCATGTCATCCTTAAAACAAAGCTTAAATACTTCACAGGGCCTCTGTTAGTATAAATTTCACTGTACAGCAGACGCAAAAAAGAATGCCCATGTGCTATTCTCATATGTTCTGAATGCTGGATTATTTGTCCATAAGTGACTTAATGACACTTCGTAAGAGTTTATTTTTCTCCCCCAAAAGAAATACTATCCTTTTAAGATCCCAGCCTCAGCAGATGAGCTGAATGGCAGCATTTAAAAATCAACAGGTTCAAACTCTAGGCCAGCATAACTTTTAGTTGGTAACAGGGCAACTCCATGGAACATAGTAAAGTGATGTATTCAGCCTATTTTTAAAAACATTACTACATTTCAAATCACAGAAAAGACAGCAGAGAATAAACAGTGTGCTGAAACTTAACAACTTTTTAAAACATTTTACAGCATTTGAGACATGACCAGCAATACTGACCAGGTACTTGATAGAATTCCCTAAGGAGGCCAGGTGGGTGCTTAACCATTTTAAGCTACGTTTACACTGTCAAGTGAATATGTTTAAACTTTTTAAACTGCTTTGAAAAAGCTCTGCACATGGCTCTATTGCCATAGTATGCTAAGCATAGGTTTTCTTTATAAACATTGACATAATTAGGTCATTTTAATCTATTAGTACCAAAGTCCAAATAATTTAAAGATTCATCTCCCTGAAATACAAGTTTCGCTTTTCCCTTCCTGTTTTAAGTAACGAGTAATTCTTTTAATTAATACCTCTTAAAAGCATTTTTCCTTATGAAATCTGAAATAACTTGCTTTAGGCAGAATAAGCCAAGGTGTTAAGCATAAATAATGAACTATCTGAAACCATGAAGTATTAAATATTTTAATACAATTATTTAACATTTAATTAATTCTAGATTTACTGCATCAAAAGTGCCTGGAGGTGAAAAAAACAAGTGAAACAAACACGAAAATCTATTTCCCGGTTCAAGTTACCTTGGCATATCGGATCTGTAATGCTCCTGTATCCAACTGCTTGATGCGAGAGTCCTGGGTAGAAATGAGGATCCCATCCTTTTTCCAGAGGATGGTGGGCACCAAAGAGCCTGTGGCCACACAGTTCAGTACTAAAGTACCATCTACAGCTACAGTCTGATTCACAGGACCCTGTCGAATAACAGGGGGAGGTCGGTCTGCAATCACTGCCAGAAGAAACAACGGGAAAGATATTTCGACAACTGGAAGCAATTTTCTAATCATCTAAGCAATAGCAGTTGCTTGAGGCTTTGAAACAGACTAAAGATAATTAAACAAGTAATTAAAGTTGGAGGCATGCATTATTCAGGGCAGGGTGCCTTATAATGATGCACAACTAAAGGATTTTAAAATCATACACAACACAGTATCTTTGGAAAGTAAAGAAGCCTGACATTACATAGTGGTGTCTGCTAGGCAGTCTCTAATTACAGTGTCTTTATAAAGTGGTAACGGAATGAGACAGGTCTTCCTGAATTCTTCGTCAAGGCACAGACTTCACCTGGTTCATCTTTGTAATGCAGTAGGCCTGTGTAACAGAATCCATACTTTCAGCATTCAAAGAAAAAGGAGTTAGGCAGGCAGGGGAATAATCTGCCAAACATGTACTTCTTAAAAAAAATTTGCTGTGTATCATCAACTCATGTTGGTGCTGTTTCCTAACTGGGAGATGCCTACCAGTAAACACAAAGCTAATGACTAGGACCATATTAAACATTTTCAGCTAACAAGTATTTTTCCAGTAGTTTCTGACTTTTAGTTCTATGAGGAATTATTCTGTCAATATGACTTCAAAGTCAAAGGGGGAATCCCAGTTTGTTTTTATCAATTTCAATGCATCTTTCATAAACGAAAATTCAATGTTATTAATTGGTTATTAATAACTGTGCACAGAAAGGTATAAAGCAGTAATAGTATTCACACGAAGAGGAATGGTTATCTACGTGAGGGGTTTTTTCCTCCATTATCCAATGGATAATCAAAAATAGGAGGCAAAAGCTGTCTTACTGTGTTTCAGTGACCTCCTCTACCTTTACCATCCAGAATGATATGAACTGATGATTTGAGAATAGCCATAAATTTAAATGACATAAATCTATTCAGCACTGTCATGGGAGCTCACATAACTTAAAAACTGGATTGGTACCTGAAATGTAAATCTGAAGTTCTGATAATTTGTGAACTTCAGATATTTCTAAATTACTTTTCATAACAGACAAGGTGTTAGTGCTGCTTTTTTTCTGGGGCTAAATTCCAACTCCCATAATTTCATTTGCATGTTCAAATGACACTCTGTGTTTTCAACTGCATAATTTAGCCTTTACTTCTCATCCCACCCTGTTGCACTGCAATGCACTGTGAGGCCATTAGAATCTTTCTCTGTAGAGACAGTCAAAATCAGTTGACCTACAGTTTGTATTCAACTTTGAAAAGCTTGTAAAGAGCTTTTCAGTTGCCAACGGTATGGGGCTGACTGATCTGGGCTCTGAAGGAGAAATCCGGCGCCACTGAAATGCATTTTAAGAGTCACTGAAGTTGATAGCAACTTCTGTTATCTTTAGGAATATCAGGGTATCATTCCGCATCTCCTGCTTTCACTTACGAAAGTACAGAAAACCTTACTGTCCCATGACATTATACAAGACAACTATCCATCAGATCAATTCAGAGCTTGTATTAATAGTAAAGCAAATATATACTAATTAAATTTATTTTTCCACAGTTCACATGGCATAGGTCATTAAAAGAAAAACTCTTAAGGTTAAGGTCTTTAATTTTCTTCTTCTTTTTTTTTTTTTTTTTCTCACCTTACCATAGCATTCTTCCCAATGGTAAATGACTAAAAGTGGGTTAAAAATGTGGCTTAACACTTACGAGAAACCAGAAAGGACTCAGTCCTGTTCCTCCAAACAATCTCAATCCCATAAGTATAAATAAACAATTTTATCCTCCATGTTCACGTCAAGTTTCTCACACTGCATTATTTCTATGTTTTCTATAGGGCAAAAGCCTTGTTTATGGAAATTCTTCTCTGATAACAGCTTCCCAGCCCTCAAAGTCTCTCCATAGACTGCACTTACCTTCTTTTTCCAAAAGTACTAAGACTATTACCTTTCCTGGGTATCTTTGCTATTAAAAATACCAAGTATTTCTGATAACTAGTAAGTTGGCCTCACCATAACATCTATTACTGCTTGCAGTCATGCTCTCTGCAGCTTTTTAATCTTAATTTTTGTCCCAAGTTCTCCTTAAAAGAAATGTAAGATAATATTCATTTGTATTTTATTCTACTGACTTCCATAGAGATTGAGGGTTTTTTTCCCTTGTTATACAGCAATATTAAAAAAAAAAAAAAAAAAAAGGACAAAACAGGTAAATGGAGATGCTAAGCAAATGGACACACAGTAATAGGCATGCGAGGCTAGGCAGCAAGCAACCTGAAAGTAAACTAAATCTATTGGGGAAAGGTAGAAAAAGAGTCAGAGAAATTACTAGATTTGACAAAAATCCATACACTGAAATATACTTACCAAATACAAAATGGAAATACTGAATTATAAAATGTCCAAAATTTTAAAACCTTGACAGAGATTACCAAACCAAGATTTTTACGTTCAAGGACACATGCAATTGGCATTTATACACAACAGATACCAAAGTAGTGTCACATCATCCCATTGCTTTCTTCAAATAAAACCAAAAATTTGGAAATAGTAAAATACAAATGTCATTACCATCGGTAACTTCCAAGTAGGCTTTTGTTATGATACTTCCCGCAACATTTAAAGTCTGGCAGATATAGTACCCAACATCAGATCTCTGGACGTTAGTGATAGTGAGGTCACCTGTCTGGGAAACTGAAAATCGGCTGGATGACTGAGGGGGCTGGTATGAGAAAAGCAGATTCTACAAGGTGTAGAAGAAAGAAAGTGGGAGAAAAGGGTTTAATAAATTCAAACATCAATAATTTAAAGTTCACTATATACTTTAATCTTTGCACATTATACATAAAACATTCTGCTCTGCTCTTAAGCATTTCTATGCCACAGTGTGATTAGCTTTCATATGTTTTTTGTGACGAAATAGCAGCAGATATGCACATATAACTGTCTAAGTCTTTCAGGATTGCTCTAACACCCTCTATGTTGGGCTTTACACAAAGTTTAACAGGCACTAGCAAAGAACTGATGCCATAATGGTGCAAGCAACTATCATGAACCTGAGCAATTTTGCTCTAACACCCTTTTTTTAGAACATACTCCAGGGCACTCTATTTATTTCATTTAAATGCAGATGTTGGTTTACTTATTTGTATTTTAACTTGCAATTTCCTAAGAATGGAGAAGGTTGTTTTAAAGAAAACATGCTGTTTAGGTCTCTCTAATCATACTGTTTGTGTTCTATAATGAGTATTGTAATATAGAATTAAATCTTATGCCAATTTCTATGTTATAGTTTTGGTATGAAGTACATAGTATTTTATCAACAAAAATCAGAACTACAACCATAATGTTACAAGTCTGCTACATGAAATACTGGTTCTAAATTTCTATTTCTGGCTGAACAATTTGTGAAGAAGAATACTTTAAGGTCACAGAGACTATTTTTTATCGCTCTGTCTTGCCTAACGACATTTTGCATTCCCAAAAAGCCTCCAAAGGGATGGGACACAAGATCATCTAATTTAGTATTAGTAAATCCTATTAATTGATCTTCTTCTTCAGTTCCCTTGTTCATCACAAGTGGTCACCACTCAGTAACACCAAAAATGAGCCAGAAGTATTATGTACTAGACCATACTTGGCCAAAAAAAAATATTAAAAAATATAATCCAAGTAATACAAAATTGAAACATAATATATCAGTGTGCTTATAACACTGAAGATTATAATCTAAATTTGGTTACTAGTATAGTTGTAATTATGTATTTAGACAGAAATGTTGCAAATGGAGTAAAGGAGTCAATCTCTAAGCGTTCTCAATTTCTCTGACCTATTGTTTTGTAACACAAAGAACCCTGTCATATGCTTTTGCACCATTCATTCCTTAATTCACAGGAAAACCAGAGTCCCATATTCCTTCTTTCCCTCCAATAAAGAATACTTTGTATCATGTCCCTCCCTCAAAAAATGACTCTGAAAGAAAACTGTGATCGTCTTGCTGTGCTGTATAGTGTTTCACCCATTGACCTTCAAGACCCTTTACAAAGAAGCTGAAAATAATTTTCTCTCCCATTCAAATAAAGAAGCTGGGAGAAAAAATTACCTATTCTGATATGACCTGTCAGCCAAGTGACTGAGTGGGAAAGCAGATCTTCTTAGGCCCAAACTAGTGTCCTACGCATGCAGTGATACAGATCAATAGAGCAAACGGTTTAGTTTGCCAGACACACAAAACCTCTGGCAAACTAAAAGCTGCACCATGAACTCAGAGTCAAACTTTCTGAAAATCTGGGATTGCTGTTGGCAGTTCAAACAAATTTCAGCATTAGTCATTTTCATCTCTTCAAAGTTTCTCCCTGTTAAAATATTTTAACAGTAGTGAAACATGGAATGTTTCTAACTGTTTCATAGATTTAGTTTTACATTCATGAAGAAATTGGGAGATTGAGCAAAACATAGATATTCTTCCCAAGAAGGATGACATGAATTAGCATGCATGTGACTTAGAAACAGAGGAGAAATATCCAGTGTATCCAAGCTCTAGACCTAATTTTTACATCTTAAAGACAATAATGAAAGTATTTTTCTTTCATGTGACATCATCTCTTCAAGAAACTGCCAGGAAGAAGGGACAAAGTCTGTTTTACCTGACTTCCCTCTCTCCGCCAAAAGATGGCTGGCTGAGGGTTTCCAGTTGCTTCACACTGGAAAGTCACTGTTCTTCCCAGTGCAGCTACCTGATCTCGAGGCTTTATAACAAACTGTGGAGGCTCTGCAAGAGGAAAATAACAAATAAAGATAAAGCACACTGCTATCGGAAGACCAAAGTTAGCCTAACTGAAAACCACAGTTTGACTACTGATTTTAAATGATGTAACAGAAATCAGTTAAGTTTATTTAACAGGAAGAGGCAGCGTAAAGACGCAACAGCCACAGCTTCAGCATCACTCAGATCATCTTTTTCGTTGCTTGAACTTACTTTTCTTAGTGAACACTTACTTATACAAGAAATTAAGTCCTGATGACTTAATGAGACAACTTGCAGAGCAATAGTCAGCAATATGAACAAATTTGCTTGCTCTTTTTTTTTTTTTGAGAAGGAGTATGGCTACAAGTCATAGAATCATAGAATATCTCAAATTGGAAGAGACCCATAAGGATTATCAAGTACGACTAACTAGAATGGAGTCAGAATGGAGAAACCTTTGAGGGACAACTAGCCCACAGGCCACACTTTGTCAAGGGCTGCAATAAACACTGTTGAGTAACTAACTATGAATTCAGGCCTACATGCACAAAAGTAATCATCTTTGATTTAGGAAAGCTGAGGAAAGAAAAAAGCCCTTAATTGCTTATATAACAGCCTTTTGATGTAGCTGGACTCTCAAAAAAAACTCAAGTCATAAGCACCAAAAATGCTATTTAACAAATTATAACCATTTAAAATCTTCAGCCCAGTTACTGAAGTGGAATGAATTTAAAGGAACAGCAGAGCTAAATGTCTTCCTCATTTACATAGGCAAGGGTATGTTCAAACAAAATATATATGCAAATGAAGGTAAATTTGAAACATCTGCCCAGCCTAACATTACAAATACTGCCAGCATTGTCCAAATTGTTTGATTTACGCAGACTTCCAATAACCCCTTCATCCAGAAGTAAACAGAATGTCAGAATATCATGTCAGTCACATTAAAACAAAAAAAGAAAAAGAGCATTAATGATAGCATTATATATCTTGATGAGGCTAGCAGAGAAAAAGAAAAACTAGTTTGTTTTACAGGCTGTTCACTCTCAGTTTTTGAAAAATGTGCATGAAATAATGTCCCTTTACTTACTCACTTCCAATTCCTACTAATCATCTGTCCAAACCAAATTATTCTCTCTCTCTTCCTTGGGTTTAGAATAAAGGGATGTTTTGAATCTGACTTTAAAAACTCAAATATTTTTGGTTTTTGCTTATTTGTTTTTTTTCAGACATTTCTGGGTTTTACAAGATTTTCCTTTAAAATGAGTGTGAATCATACAATTTAAATGTGTCTCTCAATATGTTTTGTAAAAAAAATGTAGAATGAATTTGCTGACACTCAAAGTGCTTTCTAAAAATAATTGCCTTCAGTGTTCATGTGGGCCAATACTTTCAGTCATCTGTTCCTCATGTCTTAGAGTTCATACTGGAATATACTCTTCCTACTACCCCCCTGCAATGGGAAGAATTTTAAAAGCACAACACATATTATTTACATTTGGATGCAAACTTTACCTTCCCTAGAATTTCCTACGATAAGAAACTACCCAAAATGAAGATTGACCTACAGTAATTAGCAGACTTCAAAACATTTAGCTCTGAAACATTCAGTCAATACCTTGGAAGATGTGGGAAGACTTTGATATGACAGCATGTTTAATTTAGAATGAAAGGTGAAATCGTTTGGGGTTTGCCACAGGATTATTAGGTATGATGGGGAAAATGGAGATGAGGGTGAAGCACCTTTGTTATGCTGTTGGATTTTAATAACAAGAATAAATTTAGCATACAGTTAAATATAGAGCTTGCCTGTTTGTGTACTAGTCTGTGACACAAAGCCATAGAAAATGGAACTGAGAATTTCTAAATTCTGTGCTAGTGCATAGGATTAATAAGGTTTCAGATTTTGTTCAATCTGAGAACGGGTACAGCTGTAAAGAGGTTAAAAGACCATAGAAGACATAACTGAATGCTTGTAATTCTAATACCTGAAGATGACCAATCAGGGACTATTGAACAAAAATAACCAGGGGATATTCAGTCTTTCAGGTAAACATGATAGAATTTATAAAACGTAAACAGATTTATGTTTCTCTAGGTATTACTCTAAATACATCTTCTTATGTGTATTATTCTATCTATATACACATATTATGCATATATATGTTATTCCAAACCTATTGCCATTAATATAATCCTATCATTTTCAATGTCAGCAGAATTAAAACAGGGTTAAGTGAAACACTGTTACTCAATTTCATTAACTGGTCATTGTATTGGAAGCATTTTCACTGCCTTTTTTTAACTTCAGTTTGCTTTCACACCTTGGGTCACATCCATCTGGTGTGTGATGAACACACTGTAAAAGATGTTGAAATAACAATACACTTAAGGAAAGGACAACTTCTATCTTTGAGACCTTTAAAACTAACATACCTTTTTGTAAAAAACATTGAAATTCAACTAATGCAGTCACTGAAGAAAGCATGTATTAGGATTTGACTCGTTACATCATATAAAAACAGACGGAAAGTTAGCAACCCATTACCTTTCTCTTTGCCATTAAGTTACCCATACTTCATGCAGAATTTATTCTGTGCGATGTGTCTTGTCAGTAACAAGTAAAAGATGGGAGCTGACTGGTTGAAGGACATGGAAGGGAATGGATGGGAAGGGGAGGAGAAGTTCCCGTCACAGTGATACGATGACTAGAAGATGGTCAATAAAATTTCAACTTACCAGACACAACTAAAAACAAAAACAAAACAAAAAGAAAACATGGAATAAATAAAATTAAATAGACATGAAACAAAGCAAAGAATAAAGCCAAATTAAAATAAAATAAAGAGGATCCTTGGTTAGGATCTTAGAAAGCACACATACATTCTGATAATGTGAAAAATAGGTCTAAAAAATGAATAATGTATTATCTATTTTATTTTTTAA